TTTGAATAAAATTAACCTAACTTAAAAAAACTTAACTTAATAAAAATGAACTTAAATTAAAAACGAATCCATGAATATCGGTCATTTTTGTGGTGCAGACAACAACAAAACTATGACTTAATTATGCAAATTAGTCACATGGTTCAACTTAAAGGTTTCTCTCAACCATTTCACTTCTACACTTGGAGAAAAGGAAGAGACATTTTGTATTTCTTGAAGCAAATACAACCAGAATAAATGTTTTTTCACACTCGGGGTTCTACATGATAGTAAAAGGGGACATTTAGAAAAAATAAAAGTGATGACTCATGTTTAATCCCCTAAATGTGATCCAGTCCGGTACTAAAACCTTCCCTGTGGAGGCTGAATTACCATGAGAGCAGATATTTCAGCATTTATTAGGATTATGAATGGCTCTCAACACAGTCCACTGTGTAATAAAGACTGATTTTCACCTGGAATATTTATTTATCACAAAATGTGTTGACATTGTTCCCTTTGGTGTTTTATTTGGGGCAGAATGGTTGTCTGTCTCATGTTTTTACCGTCTATGTTGGATTTTTCTTTATTATTTAATTTTATCTTGAATAATTTTTTATTCTCGTCTCTATTTATCTGGTCAAAGTTTAGTCCTTGTATTTGTTTTTTAATCTCTGTGTTGTTTTGTGTACCTTTGTGTGTTTTTAAAATCTCTTTTCAGTTTAAAACATCTTTATTTTTACATGTGTCTGGTTATATTATTGTTTTTTAACTCTTGGTTGTTGCCTTTAATCTCAGTTTTTGTTTTATATTTTGTCTTTTACATCATAACTAAACACTAAATGAGAGGACGAGTATCATTTCAGTTAACTTCTTCTCTAAATAAACTTTCAAAGATTATCTTACAACATCTAACCTGAGAGTGATCCAAACCTAAAATATTTTTTACCCAACAAACCTCTAATAAGGAAGCTTTGTTTCCCGTTTAAGGCCCCTTTATTTTCCTTAACCCTTTAAAGCCTGATCCAAGAAAAATAGGAAGAATATTGGAGGATTTTTTTTAGTCTGAAGTCTTTCTTTGGCCCCTCAACAACATATGAAGAAAAAAAAACAGAAATTATTTTGATCAAATTAGCGTGCCATAAGTCAAAAATCTATGTTGGTGTAGTCTTCTACTGGCTGTTATCAGGAATATCTGAATGTGTACAACAGGGGTTTGAGCAAAGCTTTTACCACTGAATGATGCAGAAAGTCTCACATCCAAAAGAAACCCGATCAGATATGACACATTTGGCTTTATAGGGTTAACAAAAAAGTGTAAAATCAACTGAAAATATCTTTTATATTCTCGGTTCAGTGTGAATCTACAATTTTCATAGTCATGAAAATAAAGAAGACTCTTTGAATGAGAAGATGTGTCCAAACTTTTGGTCTGTACTGTATTTTGGATTAATTTAATTTAAGTCTCAGATCCAAAAGACTTCAGAAACCGGATCAGATATGACACATTTGGCATTATAGGGTTGAAATAATATCTGTACAGACTAGAGTTTCTGAGTTTCCTGGAAGATAAATAAGGAAACCGGAGCTTTTCCTGGCAGAAGGCGTGTAATCGTGACTTGCTGATTTCAACACAGTCCCATTCATAAGGAGAAATCCACGCTTTCATAATCAGATATTCCACTAAAGACACTAAAGGGAGGCGGAAAAAACCCCTCTGTAAGGTCTTTTCTGCTAATTATTAACCCAAAAACCATAAAAGAGTCCAGATCAGAGTGTGTCAGCTAAAGGAGTTATTGATTAAATGGTTCCAAAATGACTTCACTGGAAATGGATCCATGCAATAAAAAGCCGTTTTAATAGAATTTTTTGGACCAAAAAAAAACGCAAAAATTAGCAAATTGTGTGAGTTTATGAAGTGGTTTTGAAGTGTTCTGAACCAGGACCAGAGGGTTCTGGGTTGGAGTCCCCGGGGGAACCAGGACCAGAGGGTTCTGGGTTGGAGTCCCGGGGGAACCAGGACCTTTCTGGGTGGAGTCTGCATGTTCTCCTGTGTCTGTGGGTTCTCTCCGGGTTCTCCGGCTTCCTCCCACCGTTCAAAAACCTGCATGTTAGGTTGTTGGACTCCAAACTGCCCTTAGTGTGAGTGTGTGTGGTTGTGGGTCCTTGTGTGTCTCTGTGTGTCCCTGTGATGGACTGGGGACCGTCCAGGGGGACCCCGCCTCTCCCCATTGGCTACTGGGATAGGCTCCGCCCCCCCGGTTAGAATAATGGACTCGGTGTGATTCTCCTTTTGGCCTCTAGGGGGCAGCACCGTCCCACAGATGTCTGCATCCTCTGGAAAGTATCAGAGATTCCATCCTGTAGTTTCAAACTAAATTAGGCCTTTTTTTGTCATTTTTGTAATCATTCAATCCTTTTTTGTGTGTGGAACCATTTTGTGGTGTTCAGCTTGTGTTCCTAAATGTTTTGGACCAGGGGTCTTATAGTGATGCAAACCTAAAATCTTTTTTACCCAACAAACCTCTAATAAGGAAGCTTTGTTTCCCCTTTATTCTCCTTAACCCTTTAAAGCCTGATCCAAGAAAAATAGGAGGAATATTGGATTTTTTTAGTCTGAAGTCTTTCTTTGGCCCCTCAACAACATATGAAGAAAAAAAACAGAAATTATTTTGATCAATTAGCGTGCAATAAGTCAAAAATGTATTTTGGTGTAGTCTTCTACTGGCTGTTATCAGGTATATCTGAATGTGTACAACAGGGGTTTGAGCAAAGCTTTTACCACTGAATGATGCAGAAAGTCTCACATCCAAAAGACTTCAGAAACCGTATGAAGCAAATATTGAAATATAAATAAAAATATAAATGAAAATATATTGAAATATGACAACCTGATCTTGAAAAGTAGATGTGACCTGAGGGGTTTCTGGATAAAGAGCACAAACATTTACATGTAACTGATTTTGATTAATCATATCTAAATGAACATTTATAATATCTATATCTCTCTCTCTCTCTCTCTCTCTCCATATATATACATATATATAGTCCCCCCTATTTAAACCGCCTCGGTTCTGTCTGGAGGTCAGTTTGGTTTGTGATTGGTTCAGTTGGGTT